CGGTCCCACGGCCCTCTGTGGCCCAAAGTTAAAAACTGTTGTTCTTTTGAGGCCCTCAAGGTGGCGCTCGGCCGTGACCCATAGGTTAAGAATCTCTGGTGTAAATAACAGTAGCTAACTTGTAGCCCTTCCAGCAGAAATATTCAAAAAACTGTGTGATGCTAAACAGACCAGTCAAATGCAGGTAAGATAATAATCATTCACAGCTTTTCCAGCTGTGTCAACTGTAAAATGACCAGTCTCTTTAAAAAAATAACCTATAGAAGAAAAATAAAACTAATATTTATGGACTTAGTGAGAATTGTCAGATTTATCAGTACAGTTGTGATAAGAGAGGCACTGGCTGACGTCAGAGCAGGAAACATGCAGACAGTTGTTCCAGGAAAAGGACAGCTTGACCTCCACTTCAGAATACGATAAAGACGTCTTCAAATCTTATCTTCCGTGACGCTACAAAAATCTTTTGGCGTGTATTAACGAGCACTGGGGTATGATAATCCTCATTTTATGTCTTCCTCTAAGGTCAGATTTTTCTTTTAAAGTTTCCAAAACCAGCCACAGTAGACTCAATCACAGTAATAAAAGTGATCAAATAAAATGCAACAATGAAGCTGAAGTTGTCTGTTCTCGGTCAYGCTTTGAGGCTGAAAACGACGCGGCAGCTCAGTGATTTCCTGSTTCTTCGTTTCCTTCCAGGGCCAGGCGATGTCTCACACCGTCACGTCTCAGCACAGTTCTGCCAAGGTGGACGGGCTGAGGTCAGCCACGCCGTACGTGGTGCAGGTCAGAGCTCGCACCGTTGCAGGATACGGACGTTACAGCAACCCCATGGACTTCAGCACCAGCCTGCACAGTACGGGCCGACCCTCCTCTCCCCGATGATCCACTGCGCTTRAWGAMTGTTTAGACTTTACAGCTTTTATGAGCGTCTTAATTAGTGGCCAATACACGTGCAGCAAAATGCACCCTTTAACCTCTTCTCTTTGTGTTCATTTGTGTGTGTGTGTGTGTGTGTGTGTGCGTGGTCCAGGTGACCCTCAGAAGTCTGTGCAGGACCAGCTGCCTCTCATCATCGGCTCGGCGTCCGCAGGTCTGGTGGTCGTCGTTGCCTTGGTGGTTATTGCTGTTGTCTGCCTTAAGTAAGTGTTTGATTTTTACCCCGACAACCTGCGCCGCTTGTTTCCCTCATGTTAATTAGACTTTGAACAAAGAGGCTCATTAAAGTTTAAGATGATTTCAAAGAGTGGGCGCTTTGAGCCACTTTAGCTGCTTTCAGTCCAACGAGGTGTTTAGTAAGACGTGAAAAAAATGAGCTGGTCTTCTTTTATTAACGACCGCCACTGAAGGCRAAAGAGCAATGTTTTTATTGTGTGTGTGGTTGTGTATAAGTTAGGAAAAGATCTCATGAACCACTTGGTGAAATTTAAGTAAACATATCTGCTAAGAGATTTCAGGAAACACAGAAAAGGATTAAACTCAAATAGTTTTACAGATAGTGAGCTAAACGTTGGTGTTTGGGTAGCTGAGAGTCATCTCCAACACAAACCTGAGCACTAGTTTTTAAAACTTTGAGATTAACAACTGGAGTCAGCCTTGTGTGTCTGTTAGCAAAATATCTCATGAATCACTGGACAGATGTTAATAAAATGGGATGTACATTTATAACTAACTTTAAAGTGCCCATGACATCAAATTTTGTAATAAAAATGAATGTATTTATGGAAAGATAACAATATTAACACATTGTAAAAAAGATTTCACGCCGCTAAGATGAACGGTTGTTGAGATATTTGGATGTGTAGTAACAGGAAGTGATGTCAAAGGGGGATGTCTGAATGTAAACAGAGCGTTGCTAAAATGCTAACAGCACAGACTGTAGAGAAGAATCTGATGTTTCTTTAGATTATTTTAATCACTATCATAGCGAGATGAAAAAGAGTCAAAGTTCAAATAATATTGTTCAAATAAACAAAAAACAGAGTTTTCTTTCTCAAAGAGTTCCCCTTTGATGTCACTTCCTGTTTCACTTTAACTGAGCCAAGTTCAAAAGAAAATAAGCCAGTTATATGACATAATGCATAAAATCATGTGTATTATGCCAAGTTTCTTAAATATAAATATTTGGTTTTTAGATTTTTTTGTATTCATGGATATGCACGTCACAGGCACTTTAACGGTCAAAGTGATTCAAGATGGCCGCCACAGCTAAGCAAACTTATCAAACATGAAAATGGTCATAACAGTCGAACTGAGCTAAATTTTGGTGTGGTATTAGCTGAGAGTGAACCCCAACCAGTGGTGGGCACGGTTCTGCTAATCCGCTAACAGCTAATAGCAAAGCTAATTTTTTGTTTAGCAGTGTAGCGCTTTGGCTAACGTTGGAAACTGTTAACAGGCCCATTAGCTTYCGCTTAGTTTAGTTCTACTAACTTTAAGTCAGCTAAACAAAAACAAAAATCACTATGCCCTGACACATGCCGAGCTGCGCATCTTTGTCATGTACTATGTGTGTGCATGTAGCATCTTTAGCATTTTCTGTGTCGACCTGTGAGACAAAGATATGTGAAGCAGGTTGAATGACAGTCACCTTCATCTACTCAGATTYTTGTAATCTGAGCATAAATTGGGGTTTTGGCCAGGGAAATTTGCTAAAGCACTCTGTTTATTTGGTTTTATCCCGGTGGATTAATGCTGGTAGACATGTTTTATGTTTAAATGACAGATCTTGAGTCAGCAGTTATCAATTAGTGTTACCTAAGTGCTAACTGCTAACAACCAATAACAAAACAGGAGCCAGGGAGAAGGAGAAATCACACACAAGATAGGCCCTGTAGCAAAACTGTAATCCTACCTGGGCAGACAAGAAACCCAAACAGAACTTCAACTAACCCCCAGGTTACCCCAAACCCAGACCGGTGGTCAGTCCGTATATTACGGGAGTTTCAGAGAAACTGAGACGTTTATTTTTAAACTCCAAAACATACAGCAAAACCTGGTTTACCCCAAAGTTCCGATCCCCCAGTACAAAAGTATCAAAGAAGGACTGTGACCAGTTATACATACAAGGAAACAAAGCAGTCACTGTTCAAAAGGATGGCCCAGCACAGCAGAGCAACATCATCAGGCCAGGATCTGGCTCATTGTTAAACAGGCCTCTGTGAATAGAAGCAAATTATCAGAGCACTAACAGTCAGTCATTAGGCTGATGGTCCTCCTTTTGCATGTGAACAACCAATTTTAATTGTCACCAATAAACTGGTTGATCCAATAAAGGTACTGCTTATAAGTCTGAGATTACCTGCAAGTCTTTTAGACAAAACACAGCAAAAGAAAAATGAAGAACCTGTCCAGAGGACCTGACTCAGCCTTGTTAGATTAGTTGGCTGTTTGGTGGTTAGTGAAGCTAACTTTGCGGTTAGCTGTGCCCACCACTGACACCAGCACATACTCTGAACACTGAAAGATCTCTGGAGATTATTCACAACATGTGTCTGTCCTTATTTATGTAGAACAACCTGATGTCAGTTTAAAAATCTGACATGAAAGGTGGTGGGTGATATTAGGTGTGTTGAGTGGACCTGGGCAGACCTGGACTGATGATGTGAATGTGACTTCTCTCATGTGCTTCTTGTTTACAGGAAGCAGCGCAGCGGGTCGGAGCTGGAGTACACTGAGAAGCTGCAGCAGTACAGTGAGTTTGTGTTCACTTTCCTCCTTTCGCTCAGAGTCATGCCAGCACAGTTAACCAAACAGATTTTATTCCATTTTCCAATCACCTGTTTGAGTTCGGCTTCTAGATCAAAGGAAGCTGGACCACGTGGATGAGCTGAGTTAATAAAACCAAAACATGCAGAGGAAATACTTTTACAAAATAAGAATCAAATAAACTCACTTTTTCTTCAGCATCTATCCTTCAGTGTAAACAAATCTGAAACCTTGAGAGTTATTACATAAACATAAGTATCAACATTAAATCATTTTTCTTCCCTACATGGATAGATAACTGTACAAAAAATATCATCTTGATTAACGGTAACAGCATTCTGCAGCCGTGCTGTGAGGTTGTAATTATGTGCAGAGCTGCTTTACGTTAAACACTGACACCAGTTTGCAAACATTCTAATAGTGTCTCCGACAACACTTGAATTCCTAAACATTTCCTTTGGTCGAAACAGTTGTTTTATTTAACATCTTAGCATGCAAACATAGATTATCATCATTAAAACCACCCAGAGAGAGAGATTTTTGTAGACGTTCACTTAGAAATTAATTGAATTTGTACATTAATAAACATTAATTGAACAGGAATTTTTATTGAAATGGCTTCTGACACTGTTTAGACCAGTGGGGTCCAGTCCCGGTCTTGGAGAACCGCTATCCTGCATTTTTTACTTGTTTCTTTGCGCCAGCACACCTGATTCAGTGTCTGAATCACCTCTTCTAGTTCTGCAGAAGCCTGCTAAGATAAGATAAGATAAGATAAGATAAGATAAGATAAGATAAGATAAGATAAGATAAGATAAGATAAGATAA